GCATGAAAATAAAAAACGGAATGGTCGCAGAAAGTCCCGAGGAAACCCTAAGGGTTAATGTAACACACATATTCAGGTTGGGGATTACTGTTGGCAGGGAGTAATAAAGTAAAGTAATGACATTACTTTTGACACGAGTAGTGAGTAATAAATGACAGTGAGAGTAAACCCTGCTGTTTGTGTGTGTGTGTGTGTGTGTGACGGTTACAGAGACACATTAACCTCCTGTAGGTTAAATATAACTATATATATATATATAAATATAAATATGATTGTACATGAGTTAACCCTTCAGAGGCTCCTGCTGCTGTCTGAACCCAGAAACCAGCTGACCCGGTTCTGTTGGCTCCACCAGAACCGGTGAACCAGTAAAACCCCGCGAACCCGCTCTTTATAACCCGAACAGGTGACCTACCTGTGTGTTTTCTCCTTCCTCGAGCAGGAACAGAACCTCCTCTTCTCCTCTTCTCCTTCTCTCCTTCTCTCAAACCTGCGGGGGGTCCGGACAATGACGTCACCTTGACGACAACGCGGAAGTTTCGTCGTGACGGCACCGAGATTGTGTTTGATTTATTATCTGAAGGTAAAAGTGTGTCGATAAGTTTAAACGTTTAGACGAAAAGTTTAAACGTTTTTTCTTCGGGATTGATTCTTTAACCGGGAAGTTTGTTTACTTCCGCATCCGGGACAGAATTCTCAAGGATTCGTTCGTGTCGTCACTTGGTTTCTAACCGGAAGTGTAAGGCGAGGGTCATTTGGTCATTTGACGCGACGGCCGGGATCGAAAACTATCAATTTAATTTAATTGTTTAAATAGTTTCAGACAGATATAAGTAAATGTATAAACAAGTAAATAAATAAAGTAAATTCATTAAAAAAAACATAAATTATTGAATTAGTTTGTGTCATTGCATTTTTTTAATTAATACAATTAAAAATTAAAAAAACATTTTTTTTGGACAGAAATTTGTTTTAAATCTTTTAATTTTGTATCTATCTGTATCTGTAATATAAATTGTCTGAAAGGAAACACAAATCCACACAAATAACGAAGCCAACACCAAATCTTAAAAAATTACTAATTGAATCATGATTTATCTGTAATCAATTATTTATTCACGTTAAGAGTTACTAATGCACTATTATACTCTCTTTACATACAGCATTTTGTGAGGTATATTTGGGTACATTTGGGTTGTCTTGTAAGTTAACTTTACTAGTTTCTAATAAGGTGTGATATATTATTATTATTATTATTATTATTATTATACATAAAGTAATAAACCAGCTGCAGCATTAAGTGATCAACACATTAAAGGATCAATAATTATAATCCAATAATATAATTTACATTGTGAAATTGGCCGTTCATTCGTTAATACTTATACTTTTTAAAAACTGTATTTTGATATTAAATCATCATTTTGTTTGTTGTTGATACTTTTTACAATCTAATTTTAGAGGCTAATATGATTTTGAATGCAGGACTTTTTTTTTTTAGTTTTTACTGAAGTAAAACTTCTGCTCACAGGTGATTGTGGTTGGTGGAGTGTAAAAATAACCAAATTAAATATGTACTTATAGTGAATTTGAGTTAAAAGAGGAATGAGGGTAAAACACTAGAAACTGGGGTAAACAGTCTGACTCTGTCAAAGTCCTCAGCACCTCTAAAGCTCTGTAACTACCACGTTATCTCTGGTTTGTTATAATCTGTACAAAACTGTGGTTAAACTGGGAATTATGTGTAAATATTTCCTACTTCCTGGACTTTTTGCTGGTTGCTTTCTGCACAAACAAACACAAACATTTACTAATTCTCACACAATGTCAGCAGCTGTAGTTTCAGACATTCAGAGGATTTAAACTTATAAACAACGTCAGTATCTTTTTAACTCTCAGTGGAGCTGAAGGACCAAACACAGTTTATCTGCACTGTTTATCTGACTGCTCCTTTATTGACGTTAAGGTTAATGTTCAGTGGTTGTGATTACAGAAACTACTGACTTCACTTTTATTTATCAGCTGCACTGAATCTCAAACACTGTAAAACCTGATGAGTTAGTTCAACTCAAACTGTTTCAGTTTATTAAAGATATAAACGATATTTGATTTGAGTAGAAGAAACTAGAAGTATTCATTGTTAGTAGTAACTTTGGTAAATTAACTTAATTGTACTAATTCTAGTCAGTTAATTGACTCATATGCAGAATTTCTCCAAACTTATTTAAAATGTGTGAATAGAATTTATCTGAATAAAGTCACTTAAATGAATCTTCTTTATACAAATGTTACCACTAAAGTTGAATTTACTTTTACTAGTTTAACAAATTATTAATTTAACTGTCAAATACAATACAATAAAAACTATTTATAATTAATTGTGGCTTGTAATCTTTACACTTTGGTGGATCATTATGAATTATTTGGATGCATAATTGAGCTTTATGATGATTCATAAACTGAAATAAAAGAATTATAATGCTTTTATTTATGATGAAATATGCGTATTATTTATTTAATGATATAAGTCAACTTAAAGAAAATGAGTCAATGGAAGCAACTGGAATCAAATCACCAATAATTAAAATACTGAACACATTTAAATTCTCTTAAATCAACTAAGTAGTTCCAACATTTAATCTTTTAGTTGGGTTTAATTAAAGCGAATGAACGAGGATTCATTTATGTTAACTAAAGTTAAGATGTGCTGCTCGGGTTTTACAGTGAACAGACGGTTTATTACTTTCTGTGACACCACCAAGAACTAAATACTATTGAGACAAACTTCAAATAAATCCTGAACTTTCAACCTTTGACAGGAGAAACTTGAGTGAGAATGACAAAGAAAACTGAGACAGGCAGAGATAAGTTATCTTGTTTCACAGCTCAAATCCAGGATGAAGATCTTCAAACTAAAACTTATCTAATGTTGGTGAACTTCTAAAGATTATTTTATGTGTGTAAAACGTCCGACAGATTTCAGGACGACGACTATTAAAGTGATTTTACTGCACAAACCTGGAAACACGCCAATAATCTAACCAATCAGAGACTGTAACTCAGATATTATGATGGTTTTTAATCAACTGCACAGAAAAGAAGTTGTTGTTGGGAAATTAATTTAGTCAATTTGTCTGTAAAACACCAGATCTGAGAGTTAACACACACATACAGTCAGACTTCCCCTGATGTCTCCTCAGCCACATGGAAGCAGACAGTTTAAATTAAGCTCCAGGTGCAACAGAGTAAACTTCTGAAACTTTCAATCCGGGAGGGAAGTGAAACATCGTTTTTTTTTCAACCTGATGTTATTAATTTCCTTGCATCAGTTTCCACCACACAGCTGTGCCACTAAAAACTGTTTGTACGACAACCAGCAGGAAAATCTGGTTGATTTCCTTTTAACTTTCCCTTATTTGTGTTTCCTTCACTGTAAAATCTGAGGAGTTAATTCAACTCAAACTGTTTGATTTAAAACGATTAAGTTTATTAAAGATATAAAAGATATTTAATTTGAGTAGAAGAAACTAGAAGTATTCATTGTTAAAGTAACTTGGCGAAATTAATTAATTGTACTAATTCCAGTCAGTTAATTGATTATCAAAATGGTAGCTGATTAATTTTTATGTAACAAACTTCAAATCTTTACACTTTTTGATGCATATTTGGGCTTTATGATGATTAATAAACTGAAATATGACGAAAAGGGTAAAATCTGATGCTATACAGGATTATAGTGATTATAATTTCATAAAGATATTCAGTCAACTTAAAGAAAATGAGTCAATGGAACAAACCGGAATGATGTCGCCTGTATTTAAAATACTGCACACATTTAAATTCACTTAAATCAACTGAGTTGAGTTTAATTAATGTGAATGAGTGACTCCAGTTTGTTTGAGCCGCTCGTGAACAGTTTGTATTTATGTTCATGAGTGCTTTGGTGAGCTGGTCGTGCTGATAACGTCTGACTGGGGCAAATAAACACACAGAGGGTCAGAAACACCGAGAACAAGCAGACAGATACAACCATGATCCTGACGGGTCGCAGTCTGTGTCTTCCTTCTCCAGCCACCGTCCAGGAGCTCTTCTTCGTGGCTCGAGATGCCGGCATCATCCCGGATATCTCCCTGGACCCCGTCCTCACCACCTTCCTGTCTCTGGACTCCTCGGCAGCCCTGCAGCACCAGTACGCCTTCTTACAGCGGAGCATGAGCGGGGAGCAGCAGTCGGCGTTCAGCCTCAACCTGACGGCAGAGCTGGGAGGCCGCAGGGTCACGTACGGGGGAGTCGGGGTTGTCGCTCTGGCTCTGTCCGTGCTTTTTGACCAGGTCGCCCAACAAGTGGGTCAAACTTTTTGGGTTTGTGTGAAATTATTGGAGGGTTAAAGAAGCTCAAAACATATGATGCAGCTTTCTGAAGTCAGTGGAAGTGAAATATCTTGACAATTATTGGACAGATAGAAACACATAAATCAGTTTACAGCCAACAGAGACAAATGGTCTCATTTGCGACAAAAAGTGATTAAAACCTAAAAATAATATGCAAAATGCTTCAGAATCTTACATATGGAACTTTTTATTTGTCCAGTACTGTGATTTATGACCAAATATCTGCAAAACTATCGACATCCAGCCGCAGTCGTACTTGTATTTAATGCTAATTTGCAAATGTTTGCATGCTAAAACACTAAACTTGCTTAATATCAGCATGTTAGCCACGAAGTCTTTGTACCACAAAGCTAAAACAGAGCTAAAATCGAGACCCTCCCTCCAGGTTCGAGGTCAAGGATCAACAGAAGGGGGACCAACAACTCAGGGGTCCCAGAGGATTTTTGGCATCAGCAGTTCCTCCAGAATTGGCTGGATTATCTACAACTACCTGTGCCGGATCCCCGCCATCGCCAACAACCAGGAGAAGATGGCGGAGACCACGGAGCTGTACGACAACTGGCTGAAACTGGAGCTGCTCGACCACTACGAGAGGATGACCACTAAGAAGAGGATGAGCTCGGTGTCCATGCAGCAGTGGTTGGCAGGAGCTGCCGTTCATCTGCACATGAGAATTCACCAGGTCACTTTTATTTCTGCTGCGTAAACATATTCGTTGTTCTGTAAATGATGTGTCCAAAATTCATCAGCCAACAGGGAAAATGTAAAAACAGTTCATGTTGTTTGTTGCCTTCTTGCCTTGGTCGGTGCCAGAATTGGACCAAGAAAGGTGTCAGTACTCAAAATCTGTTTTTCTTGAAAATTGTTGTGATTTTTTTTGTATAATTTATTTAAAATCAAAGACAACTTGTTCCAGTGAGAATAAAACCGCTAACTTTTTGTGCTAGAGAACTCCTATGATTGTTGAAACTCACAAGAAACTAAGTTGCGGTGATAATGTGGTAAATGTGGTCGCGCAGAATTTACCGTCAACTGGTTGAATTTCATGCGATCTCAACTTTGTAACTTCCTGGATGGACCGAGATATAATGTTGGCAAAATAGAAAATGTACTTGTTAAAATAAATAGCTAACAATTGATGTAGATTCGCAAGTAAGTGGCCAAAATAATAGAGGTTGTGTTGAATTTAGGTATTGGCACATTTTTTGGTCCAATTCCAGCAATAACAAAATAGTTTTTTAAAGCACATGTATCGGATTGGTACTCGGTATCGGCCAATATGGAAAGTTCAGGTATCAGGAAAGAAAAAATGGTATCTTATCTATTAAAAAACTAAATGTTAACTGTGATGGGAGCAAACAAACACCTATTTTCCACCTCTAGGATGCACTACTTCCTGCGTTGTTGGCGCTGAACGTCGGCAGTTGAATTCCTTCCTGTTGTCGATCTGAAAGCTCTTTTATTCTTGTTTCGACAGGTTCGTCTGAACTCTGTGCCAACAGGATCAGCTGAGTCACTGCGTCTGTCCTATAAGTCGGGGTTATGTCGCCTGATTCAGGACTACGCAACCTATCTGCGCCGAAACATTCAGGAAACTGGAGCTCCAAGACCCCGAAAACCCAGAACCAGGACAGCCACTGGACCAAGACTAACTGACACCTTTAGCATTACGAGCTGCTCAGGTAATCCCCTTTTTAATGAGAGCGTCTCAACTGATACATTTAATGAGACTATCAAACCCAATTCAACGGCAGACATTAGCAGAAGCTGTAAAACCAACGGATCCAGTGAAGACTTTGGACGTGATGAGACGAAAGGTACAGTAGGAACAGAAACCAGGAAGACACTCAACAGTTCCACTGGACGTATCGCGGAGGAGGAAGTCGACACTCTGGGTCTGTTAGTCATCGAGCCGTGGAGGAACGTGAGCCACAGCGTGCGGCATCACCCCTGTGAGTCTCCGGCCATTCAACAAGCTTTAGCGACTCGTATCTTCAACGCTCAGGACCTCGAGAGAAACAGAAACTTCTTTCGGTTCCCTGAAAGATCTTTCCACGGCCTCCTCAGGCAGAGGAACGACTTTGAGCTGAAGACCAATTAGACAGACGTAGAAAGCTGTGAGATTGATCTCATGAGGACATTAACAGTTGAGCAAACCTCGGCCAACTTTATTCTTTTCTGTGCAGCAATTTTTCCCCCCGAGGATGGCGAAGATACGATGCCCCCGACTCTGCCTCTGATTGGTTCACCCAGACATTTTTACCCTAAACCGAACCAATCCAATCAAAGAAGGCAACAAGTATTAGTCAGAGTCAGAGTCATGTAATGTCTTCACCATCCTGGGAAAAGAAAATGTGGCTTCCTCTACTTATGCTTGGCTCATCTATGTTACATTTCTGACAATTATACAATAATTGTGGGATAAAGTGAAAATTGCATATAGTTTTGTATAATTAATTTAAAATGAAAGGTGACTCGTTCCAGTTTGGTGACGTGTGGGAAGCTACACTGATTTGCGTTAATTAGCTAGTTAAAAGTTGATTATCTAGTTAAAAGTTAATTAACTAGTTAAAATTGAATTAACTTGCTATTTGCTGCAGAGAAATCTGTTAATCTACATCATCTGTTTGGTAGCTAGTCACATCTGAAAACTAATATTTGCTAGTTAGAAGAAGAAGATATACTTTATGAATCTCCTGTTGGGGAAATTGAACAAGTTGCCATTTTACAGGATATTATTATGTCTCCGCTGGTTGCCTGGCAACCTCACAGTTACTACAGAGTCAGGCTATTTAGCATAAACACATTTGTTTATATGAAGTGTTAGTAGAAATAAATCATATAGACTTGTAAAGAATAACAGATTCTTTAAATACTTGATTATGATTGATTGATTGATTTTGCTGACCATAAATAAACATTGTTTTTTAAAAAAGAAAGAGGAGTGGTGGTTGATGGTTTGTTACTGTAAAGGTAATTTAAATCTGTGTTTGATATATAATGTAAAATGTATAAATATTGATAAGTGAGTTATGGTATTACAGGAGTCTGCAGCCTCAGTGAGTACAGTCCAACATCAACATCTAGTGGTAGAAAATATAATGTATGTACGTAAATGCCCATAATGAGATCAGATCCTTTCCTCAAGTAAAAGTAAATATACCACAACAAAAAGTCCTGCATTAAAAACTTTACATGAGTAAAAGTACAGAAATATCAGAATTAAAAGTACTCATTAAGCTTCTACTGGGTATCTTAAACAGGCATGTGATCCTTCAAGATAAGTTCCTTTATTGATCCCTGTAGGAGAAATTCAAGTCATACACAGCAGCACAGGGGAAAGTAGTGCAAAAAGTAAATAAATAAAGGAATATCTTATCTTATCTTATAATTACGGAAGCGTATTGGATTCACTTGAACATTTATTTTTATGGTTGGTTTTTCTGAGTATTTTTTTCAGATTTTCTGAATTATTTTTTTTTTCTGTTTTTCAGACTAATTAATTTTCTGAGTTTAGAGAGGATTTGAAATGAATGGACAATCCCTCCCTCCCCCTCCACAACACTGGACAAGCTAAAGAG